TTTTTCTAATTGTGTTGACTGTTGACACATTTGTTTTTCCTATTTTTTGATTTTTTAAAAATATGCAATAATTTTGTTCTGAGGCACTCTCATATTTGTCCAATGCTTCTACCGTATCGTATTTTTTAAATTTTTATAATTTTATCTATTTTTTCATCTATTTTACAGTTCACAAAACTCTTATTGATTATTATTTACACATTTGGAGTGAAATAGTTTTTCCATGGCCAACTATTATCACACAAAATATGCATTTCACTTTTTAAGTATAGTTATAAAAAATATTTTGTTACAAATATATGTTTTTTAGATCAGAAAAAAATAAGCTTTTCAAAATTGCCATAGCCGCCTATGATTTCCATTTAAAAAAATACAAGTTTATCTTATTACGGCTAAACTAATAACTGAAAAAAATTGTTAACTACATTATTAAATTCCTCGTAAAAAAGTGCCTATATGATGTCTTTTTTTCAAATCCGTATCTTCTATAATAACGAAGATATAATTTTTTTTTAGATTTCGCTGAAATGTCAATTTTTGTGTAAAAGTCGAAAACAAAAGACGGTCGCGGGATGTGGTTTTAACCAATATTATGAGCCCCAGAATGTATCACTCGTTTTTTGCTAAACCTCTTAGTTTCGGAGATTCCCTATTCGGACATCCAAAATGCAGCACCCTGTACATCAGTGTGTTACAAGTTTTAAGGCCGGCGCAAAAATAAATATATTTCTAATTCATTAAAAAAAAACTTGCTGGTGCAAACGGTAGAGGGTTATATAGATTTCAATTAGATGCTTTAATATTGTTCAAAATTTTTAGCGCGAGTGGGACCCTAAAAATCAAATTTGGAAAAAAAATTCTTGATTAAATGGAATCTTTTCTACATGATAAAATTCCTTGATTTTTTTAATGATAACTGTGAAAATTGAATAACGTAAAAGTTGATAGATTTTGAGTAATTAATTGAATTTATTTTCTCCAAATTTAATTTTTAACGCCCACTGACATACGCTAAAATTTTGTACAATATCAAAACATCAAATTAAAGTGTGTTTAATCCTCTTTTGTTTACACTATCACAATTCTTTTTTAATAAATTTTGCCAGCCCTAAAACTTGGGACATTCTGTACAAAGTCATCAAAATAACTGACTTGTTAATACTTTCTGAAATATAGAACAAACTGATCAAAACAAGTAATGCAAACAAGATTACATCTTTCGAGTACTTTGTTCCAACGTTTATATTGTTAATAATTTGAAATAGTCAAATTCGGTGGTATCTACTCACAGAAAAGTCATTATCTTAATTTAAGAATAATAATTGTCTTAACGTCATATTTTTAACTTGAAACTATATTATTTTACCACAATTATTTTTATTTGTATTAAAATAAAACTATTTCTTGACTTAAGCAACGAATAATTTTACTGAATTGTTTTACTTTAAGAAAAATTTTCTTGTTTGAAATA